AGTTAACTGTATTTACTTCTTGCATGTTATGCCATAAAATTGTGGGACATAGTCAGGGTATGCAGTACAAATTTCTGGTTCATACAGAATAAAGTTTAAAATAGTTATAAGAATCATGCCACTCTGGTGCATAAATTACTAACAATTTTTGTACTAACTACATGTAGTTAGTAACAAGTGCTGAAGGTTTTCTTGTGTTGGTTTGCAAAGGTTTCAAGTGTCATTCACTAAGTTTTCAGTTTTACATGAAGAAAACTGCATTGCAGTCAGAACATGTTAAGTCAGTAAATTTTTTTACATCAAGCAAAGAAACTTACCCATCATTTTCAGACTCCAACATATCAATGATCTGTTCTTTGATCTGAATAAGGAGCTGTAAACAAGAGAAATACAAGAATAAATAACAACTGAATAGATAAATCTTGATGTAATTATTATTAAATGAAATTGTAAAGTGAATGTAACAAGGGAGCTGCAGGTCCCATGGTCAAAAGTAGCTGCATACTAACACATGCTAATTACATTCCATTAACAGAATTGGCCCATAGGATATTACAGCCCAGTTGTCGGAATGGTTAATAGGCAAGAATTTCCCTCAGCGAGTGGAGTAACTTGTAAAGTGTAGTAGTCTGAGGTACATGTACTTGCAATATGTCACATTTACAAAAATGAAGTGACACAAAAGTTGGGAAATATGAAAGGCAGGATTGATTTAATTATCCCCGCAATTGGAATAGTAATTTAACTAGAAATTGAAAGGTTGAATTAGTGTTTTCACTGAAACCAAACTGTTCCATAAGCACTTTAGTTTTAAGGTTTTCTCACCTCCCACATGTGTTCCACTTCTTCTGATACAGCCTTATGTTTGCAAATGTACTGAAGACAGAATAGAACAATTTCACATGTTCAATTGTTAAGAAAATTTAAGTACAATTGTAAAGCTATATTGAAACAGCATAATAGTATACAGCTGTAATTTGCATTGCATTAAACAGGTGTACAGTATATTAATGCACATATGTATGGAAATATTTGCTGCATTTTCATTAATGTTTGTACAGTAAACACCCATGTATTGTAAAGTATTTAGAAGTTAACTTACATGTACATGACCATCTACATTTAATTAGAGGGTGATTTCACAAACAATGTTATTTGAGTTACTATTTACTACATACATGTGTCTAGCTGTACCTACATGTAAGAACAGTGCCTGCCTGGGAATAGAATTTAGGTGTATTTCAGCTACTGTTGTTGGAAGGATTGTGTGATTGTTGCATTTTTTTCAGCAAACGTAGCAATCAAAATGTGACTGATTATCTCATGCCAAATTCTCCTGTTTTTCATAAGCAAATAAAAGTTGATTTGAAGGAGAATCTAGCGGTTTACCATTCAACTAGCAATGGCTATAATCTACATGTACTGACCTGTAAAGCAAACTTGTAGAGCTGTGTAACACACAGCATGACTCGTTTCTGCACTGCGACATTGTCATCGTTCAGCATGAATGCCAAAGTATTTTGCACTTTACTCAGCAGTTCGATATCTTTCTTGCTGAAGGTTTGGAAAAAAGTAAAAGATATATCAATAAAACTGTTAAATGAAAAGGGAACAGTCGCAACCAAGGCTCGTTCCTCTTTAGAGAATAGAGGCTCTCTGGAGCATCTTTGCTCTTTTACTAAATAACATTATTTGTTCATTTGACTCGGAATCTCTGATTATCAGCAACAAACAATGCTGTGTCACAAATTCATGTGAAAATCTTAACCTGTAGCATAATACTTCAGTCTTTTTCATGTGTAATGAGAATTGGCTGCACTTACTTATAATGCAATTAAAACTCAAAAAGGACTGATAACATACAGGGCAGGAAAAAACCCAGGTTCCACTACCCTGGGCAAATAAATGTTGATCTTGGGCAAGTGAAAATAGAAGTTTGGTGGCCCAGTGGGCAAGTGAAATTAGCCTCACTGGTCGTGTAAGCCTGTCTGCAAGTGTCAGCTTGGTACACTGTAAATGATTTTTCCAGACAAACTATCTCAAACCTGAAGACTGCAAGACGAGTAACACAATGAATTGAAAGCATGAATCAATTTAAATCAAAATCCAAGAGTAAATTTGCTTGCAGCTTGTGTCACTCTTCTTCCAGTAGTTACACTCTGTATCTGGCGCAGCATTAAAAGTACTATAGTGTAGTTTAGGTCTTACCCACTTTGTTATAATCAATAACTTATAATATAGACAGCAACTTAGATTAGAACTACAGTAAATATAATAAGGCACTATGTTCTCTTCAGGCAATAATATTTTAAGTGGGGGCAAGTGAAAACTGAAATTCACTTGCCAACTGGACAAGTGGATTTAATTTTTTTTCCTGTCCTGACATGTTGTTCAGTGGTATCTGAACTGTAAACAATTTATTGCATGTATCATATCATTAATTTACCATGCTTCCTCAATGAATCCAACAACAAATCGACGCACATCTGCTGATCTGTCCTGCTGAAACACTAGTATTTCCTGGAATGGGACAATCAACAAATTGAATTAGAATGTCATGAAAGATAATATTATTTTAAGGGACATCCACTTACATATCATTTGTCTCATGATAGTCAATCGATCAGTTAATAGTGACATGATTTTCACTGCCCAATGCAGGTCTTCATTAAATGTTCAACACCATGTATGTATACATGTACCACCCGGTGGTACTAATAATATTCCCACTCAGCAAATTTTACTGAGTGGGACTATAATCAGTACATTGTGCCACCATGTTTGCTAGTGATTGGGGTACAGTGTATCATGATAATTATGTACTCATGATTGCTGGGTTTTGATCCAAAGTATTATTGTCGCCATTGTTAGGGGAACAGAAGCTTTGAATTGACCTTGCCTGTTATAACAGAATCTGTGCACACGACAGCTGTACATTATTACAGGGAGATAGACCAATAATAAATTATTTAACATACTTACATCTAGAAAATTATCCAGCAGAGTAGGATCTTTATTCACAATAAACTCTTGAACCTGCAGGGGAGAATTTAGTAACGGGATCTTAGTCCTGAACAGTGGTGAATTATTGTGTTGTTAGACTGTGATAAGGGAGTTGATCAAATACATGTATTTGGAGAACAATCAATGTAACAAAGGTTATGGTTATTATGCATTTCCAGCTTTACATGAACAGTTACAAAAACATTCTAAAAAGAAGTGGTATTGGTTAGAGAAGTGTGACATCACAAAAATTCAAATTTGTGAAATAATGGGATTAAAATAATAGCCTGCAAATACAGCTGTTCCTCCTTGCATTTCACTGCTAAGGAAATTTTGTCAGGAGAACTGTCTGAGAATCGGTGACAGAAATTCCATACTGATGACCTAAAATCTGTCAGGAGTCTGGTCAGGAGCTCTGATTGGTTGACATAGTAGTTATTGTTTTACATATTGTTCATGAATGACGGAAGAAAGACAAAAGGCTGCAAAGGTCAAATGTAAATGTGATGAATCTACTACAAATCAGTCAATATTTCTAAATACATATTTTTCTTTAGAAAAAGCATCTGAGTTTTGCTGGAGCTCGTTTGCAAAAGTTCACAAAACTTTACCATAATCGACCAGGAGAAACATAAAATCAAATAGATTTTACATTTGGAACCCCATAAATAGCAAATGTATTATGTAAACATTGATTTACATCAACAGTATGGAATTTCTGTCGCTGATTCCGGAGGTTCTTCTGGCGAAATGTCCCTGGCAGTGAGGAGCTAGGAGAAATGGCTGTATTTGCAGGCAAGGGATTAAATGGCACATTCATAAAGAGCAAAAAAAAAAACCCTCACAACTTGCAAAATATCAGCATTTTAGTGCAAAATTAGTGGGGAAATACAGGGTATAAGCACCTTTACATTTACAATCAAAGCCTGTTTTAGAAGGATTTATAATAAGGAGTCATTGGAGAATAACAAGATTCACATAAAAATGCTTATATCTTCCCCCTTCCCCAATTTGCTTTAACAGGCCGATTTTTGGCAAGTGAACATTTTTCTTCTTGTTCTTTTTGGATATGCAAACCTATTCCATATTAGGTAATTTGAGCACCAGCCAAAATTTGCTCATCTGATGTAACATGTTTATTAAGGGCTACTATTAAAACCTTTGAATTTAACGAAAAATCAAAATAAACAAAATAATAATAAAGACACAAACACATATTTTTTTATTCTGGCAGTACAGTAATCCTTAATGACATTGTCTGACAATGCATGTTTATTTCTTTAGAAGTAAAACACACAAGGTTAAGTCATACCTGTTTCAAGCAATTCAATTTATTTTCCTTTTCAAGTTGGGCTTGATTAAGTAAATCAATCACCTGAATAAATAAAGTACATGTTTTAATTAAAACTATGTGATTGTAAGCCCGGTTTCAAAATGATGGGTATTTTGTTTCCTCTGAGCTTACTACTGCATTATTTCAAACACAGAAGGCATATCATTTTACGTCTGCCAATTTTTTTTTAAAAATATTTTTCCTTTGATAAATAATTTAAGCCTGATGTTTTCAGACAAGTTAAAACACTGAAGTGTACCGTGCTGTAAGAGCACTGTTTCCATACGCACGTGTAGTGCAAGAAATTAATTCCAAAAATTTCTTGGCGCCTTGCTCTTTCAGCGACTCACCTTCTCTGACGTTGAATCTTCAGCAGAATACTCTCCTGAAGCGACAAGAGTGTCAACATCTGCGTTATTGAAGAACTGTGAAGCAACCGACAGGCGAACGCCAGTCCGGCCATCGGCCGCCATCTTGGATTGTAAGAGCACAATAAAAACTGGTCTGCGGTATGAAAATGGTTTGTAACACTTCTCATGTATTGCCACTCAGGTGTGACATTGAGCAAAGGAAAATGGAGGATTTGGTGTTTGGTTGAGTCAGTTGTTATGGCAGTTAAACATCGCTGTGTCACTGGACGAGGACGATAAAAAGGGCGAAAACCATGGGGTTACTGACTATTTTAAAGAAGATGAAACAAAAGGAGAAGGAGATGAGAATTTTAATGCTGTATCCTTATTAACCTTTTGATGAATTAAACCAAACGTCAAAAGAGAGAGATTTTAATTTAGAAATAAGCTTTAACCTTTCCAGACATGAAAGAATCTCTTAAGGTGTACTAGAAGGAACCTATTAAAATTCAGCGTTCTCATTAAGTGATCTGGAAAAAAGTGGTGGGTATTCATCAATGTCGTGAGTCCAATAGACCTTGTCAGTACTTGTCACGGTTTTGGAAACCATCTTGACGAGTAGGCAACCCCGTGAAAAATTTCACTGTTTGTAAGAGAATCTCATGGTGAATAATTTCCGTAAAATGGCTGTTCTGAAAAAAAAAATGAATTGTAAACTAAAGCTACACAGCAGAAGATTTTACTGACAAATTTTGGGGGCCATAACTGTGCTTAAATTTGTCCAGATGCTTGCTTTAGATTATCCGTATGCAACTGTGTTTGCCTTTGCAATTTTTCCCGTGAAATTTAGTCGGCAGGAATAGAAATGTTTACAGACAAATGTATAAAAAAATTGTAAAAAGTGGTTCTAGTGCATGTAGCTGCATGTTACGCCGTCAAATTTTTTCAGTAGAGTCGTAAGGGGTGAAGCTTTAGTTTTCAGAACAGCTGTTTTACAGAAATATTATTTGACATACACTGTAAGATTCTCATACAAACACCGTATTTTCTCACATGGTTGCCTACTTGTCAAGATGGCTTCCAAAACTGTGACCATGTCTATTAGAAACTAAAAGCTTAAGTTAGAAAATTAGTATTGATGTCACTTCCTTGACACAGTTGACAGAGGTCTTGACAACGCTGGCAAAACAACAATTTTAAAGAAGTTTAATGGGGAAGATATTAACACAATTGAACCCACGTTAGGATTTAACATCAAAACCCTTGAGCATAGAGAGTGAGTATGACCTGCATGAAGATCATCAGGAATTTTTCTTCTACTTCACATCTGTCAAATCGAAGCTTAAGCACCCCCCTGCCCTCCCCCTCTTGGGCATACCCAGGGCATTAAACACTTTTTCGTTCTGTGGTGGAGGAAATTTGATTATCATAATTTTCATGAGGGTGGGAAATTTGGTAACCATGCTTAAAGGGTTGGGGCATTTAAACCTTAGCTTCAATTTCACATGATTCATGCATGTCTTGGAGCTTGTAGGAGGACAAAGGGGGATTGAATGATTTCAAAGGGAAAGGTTGTGGCTTCATGGTGGATTGGCTTAAATCACACAAACTTTGTAATTTTCCCAGGGTGGGGCATTTGATCACCTTAAATTGACCTACATGTACATGTATATGAAATTTATACCCTGGTGGTTGCTTGGGAGGGGATGTTGAAGCTTTGCTTTGACTGGTACAATAGGAAAACACTTCAACGTTTTGAAGTATGGTTGCATTAGTTTTCCAAACCCTGGGCACTTTACATGTAAATGCCCTCAAAGGTTTGTAATACTCGACAACCAGACAAGTAATCTCCAAAACCAATGTTGAAAATATAGACTGAGATATTCTACTGACTGTCCTGAACTGTCCCTCCAACTAGTAGGCCATGAAAGGTTTAAAGGTGTGACAGCAAGGCCATGCAGCTTTTGTCACCATCACTTGTTAAAAACATGAACATTTTAACGCCACATTTACACCAAATCACTGCAACTGCTACACTGTATATGGATAAAATGTGAACTTTCCCTCATTAATAGAAAAACAATCTATTGCCACCCACAGATTTAAGTTAAATATTTGGGATGTTGGTGGACAGAAGTCCCTTCGCTCATACTGGAGAAATTACTTTGAAAGCACTGATGGCTTAATATGGGTAGTGGACAGTGCTGACAGGCGCAGACTTGCTGATTGCANCTCATACTGGAGAAATTACTTTGAAAGCACTGATGGCTTAATATGGGTAGTGGACAGTGCTGACAGGCGCAGACTTGCTGATTGCAAAGAGGAATTAAAGGGACTCCTTCTAGAAGAGGTACCACATGTTTATCAGGGATCCACATTCATTTTTTCTTAGAGTCGTCAGCCAGGCAAGTAAGCTTGATGGCATACTTGCCGGGTTACATTTTGGGTTGCCTGGACAAAAGTGTAGAATTATGTAAAAGAATGGTGAAAAAATTTTGTGCAACTTGAACATTTGTGATTAGCATTTTATTTCTGTTATAGTCACTAAGAAAGGGTTTTAACTGAACTGTTAAGTATGTAACAGGCTACAGGCCCAGGCTAAACACAGCCATGGTTGGTCAGTTTTTTTTTTAAAGTGCTCTTACGGAATATGTTTTCCCCCCTAAAAGGAGCCGGCTCCTGCATCACTATTTTTTTCTGTAGAAGGCAGTTAAAGGTCTTCTAAAAACTGTCACTTCTTGATGCATTTAAGGCACCGGCTTCTGCTTCACCCTTTTTTACTGCCGAAGGTGACGAAATGCCTTCTAAAAAACACCACATCTTGATGAGTGCTGTCACGTTTTCTATGAATGGCCTCTGAATGCAGCAGTTCACAAAAAACTGAGCCTGCGATTGTTTCGTAGAAAATTCTACACCCTCAAAGATGGCGCCGAAACTTACGATTTCATTGCAGACAAAAGCTGCTTGTTATTCTTCATTATTCTAAAAGTTTTAAGTAGATGACAAGTAATCAGAGCACAGGGAAAATGTATAAATCATATAAGAATTTTTGAAAAGATTTTGTGGTTGGCGCAAAACCTCACTGGTGTGAAGGGCGACTTTTGAAGTATAATAGTATAAAGTATAGTTATAAATTGTCTATACGAGATTGTTGTCACCTGGGACGACCGGACGACTGGGAATTTGGATCCCTGTTTATTGACTTAAACCCCTTGGGACTTCAAGGTAGCATCCTTGATTGCGAGAGTCTATAATAGCAGGGGTTAGTTTCATCAAAACATCGTAATTAACTTGCTGCATGTCTGAGTGTCTGAAATCGTGAGGTGTCTGCAAATTGAGAATTGACTGTATTTTTCACATGGCATTTGTTTGATTTGTAAAAACCAAAACCGAGACAATGACTTTAACAGGCAATCTTGTGGATACTGACTGTCGATTTGTTTTTTTTGCTCAACTAGAGGCTCGCAGGTGCTACGCTGTTAGTGTTTGCTAACAAGCAGGACCTTCCTGGTGCATTATCAGCAGAAGAAATTAAAGATGTAAGTTTAACTGTGCCTGATGAGTTGTAAGCAGTGTTTGTACTTGTAGATCAGATGTTGCATTAAGCTAATATAATATAATATAATATCTCAAGGTCCTTATTGCTTTTATGGGTAAGGGAGACGGAGTTTGGGGAGAATCTATGCGCCTAGTCGGAATTTCACATTTGAAGAGGAAGTCATGTCCCTGTCTACTAAAATAGATTTTATTATTTTGTGGTTTTCTTTGCTGCTGTCATTGAGTTTCAGTCCTTCAATCCTTTGTCATTTGTTGCCATTCCAAATGTCTTATACCCTTGGACTATAAACCAGCATCACTTTAGGTAGAAGTAAGTTCTCACAACAAAGCATTACCAAGGTTTACCGGTCATTTTGATACAAACTCATTCTGATACAAGTCATTTCAATACAAGTTTATTCAGTCAAGGTGTAGATAGTTTCATTTACTTGGCTTAAGGAACAAACAATATCCAGGTGAAAATTAATGTTTTTCTCATTCATGTGCAGACTATACTTGAAGTGATCAAGTTTTTATGTAATTTCAATGCTTGAGGTTTCATCAAAATAACTTGTATCAAAACGATCAGTTTCCCATTACCCATGCTCACTCTGTATGACTCCACAGGCTATCTGTGGAGAATGGCATCAAACATGAATAGGAGTTAATGTACTCTAACTGTTTACAGCTGTATTTGTTTCCTTTTTGTAGGCCCTTAATCTGGAAGCCATCAAGACACATCACTGGAACATTCAGTGGTGCAGCGCTGTAACAGGAGAAAAGCTGTTGGATGGCATTGATTGGATCATTTCTGATATTGCATCAAGAATATTCACAATGGATTAAGAAACATTGAATTCATAGCTGCAGTACAGCCCAGTCAAAGTAATATGGCATCTGGCAATGGGCCCTTTGCACAGAACAGTCACATGGCACCAAAAAAGCATCTTGCTGGATGGCAAACGACACAGAGGGGCAAGAAAACAAAGCGATTATACATCGTTCAAAAAACTTATATGAATCCTTACTTTCAAGGTCCCACTGCGTCGTTTGCCATCCAGCAAGGGGACAGTTTTGTGCAAAAAATGGCACACTTAACACTTAACACTCAACACTTAACCACCACACAGATTTATGTCTTTGCTGCCTGTTTCTGTTGTTAACCCACCTACTTTTGTTAAACATTAGAGACTTTAAGATTCGAGGACAAGAACGACTATGAGTATTAGATTTTTAAAGTTTTTTTCAAAAAATAGACACCCCGCAAAGCTTCATTGTACTTTTTTTTAACCAAAAAGTTAGCACTGTTATATTTATTAAAGGAGGTTAAGCTCTTTCCTGATCACAACAATGTGATCATTCTTGTGTCTGCTTCTATTCTCCCTTAAACTTATAGTAGAATGAAGTCGACTAAAATTAGTTTTTCCTCCAGGCTCTCAGATATTGGGGAAAGGCACGCGAAATGTTGGCGGGGCGGAAAAAAGGAAAAAGGAACGGCCGCCCCTGCTATACTACATATTTTTCCGGTGAATAGCGCTATCCACCGGAAAAGTGAAGAGTAGGAAGTTGAGCAGATTAATGAAGCTGAAGCAGATTAAAGGTGATCAGCTTTCAAGCTGAGCAGATTAATGAATACTTTAAAGCCTTTTTTTTTTGTATTTAGAAATCGATCAGTGAAAAGACATTTGGAGACCAGGCAGTATATGCGTGGAAATTTGAAACTGTTTTTGTTAACATTTCTTTTTATTTTTCAGTTTATTTCCCTCTTGCATGAATATTTATTTTGTAGTTCGCCCACCCCCTCCCCCATAACGTTTCTAATAGTCCATCTCACCCTGTGAGCAGTACCTCCTAAATTGCTGAGTGATGCCAAGTGATCAAGCGGCGAGCCAATGAACAGCTCTGCGGATCCAAAGGAGGGGCCCGGGCCCCAGGCCCGGGCCACCCATTATTTTTTGACCAAACCGAGACCCGAAGGGCTGAAAAATTTTTTGGGGGAGACCGCCCCCCCCCCCCCAGCTAAGAATCTGGATGACCTGGACCCCCCCTTATCTCAAGGTCTAGATTCGCAATGTTATTTACCACCAAAACTCTTTCAATACGTCGCGTATGCTGTTACTCTTCGCAGTCATGGCAGGGCAGAGGCAGGGGGGACATAAACTGGAACACATTTTATTTCTCAAAGTACATTAACATTCAGGATAGTTTTTATTGGCAAATGTTCCACAACCTCTAACTCATAAAATATTGAATTAAAAGCAAATTTTTGCGAATGAACGGCTCTCCTGCTGAGAGGGTGCACGGTCCATCCCTGAGTTTTATTCATTGGCGGATCCCGGCCCCCCCTTATTTTTAGACCAAACTAAGGCCCGAAGGGTCGAAAAAAAATTTT